TAAGCCCCCGTTTTAAGTCAGTGAGTCCTGCTTCGAATCAGGAGGCCTTATCTCGTGTGAGGGAGGGTGCTGGCTCGCGAGGTCACCTTAGTGGATCAGAAGGCTGCTTTTCCGTGTAAGGAAACGGCCTCCGAAAATCAGGAGGTCCTTGTTAAGAATCAGGAGGTCCCTTTATCACGTAACATCCTGTTCCAGAAGGCTCCTGTTAAGGATCAGAAGGCTCTGGTTGGGATAAAGAAGCCCTTCACTGGATTGGATGGCCCCTACTTCACATCTGGGGTTGTGGTCACTCCACTTCCGTTAAGACATGTAGCCGTGATAGATCATCTTTGAGCCGCGCTCACTTGCGCAGGCTTTACCCATTTCTCAAATTCCCTGAGTAAATGAAATGACCGCGTGGCGTATACTCGAACTGGGAGCACTCAGGCTTGTGTCCCGAAATAGTGGCTATTGGACTGACCTACGCCGTATTTTTTGTGATAAATTAGTTTAAGTTTGTCATGTAGGCAAGGAGCAGCCATGCTGTGCTTTTCGTTTCATGTTTATCTACTTTTGCGTGATGTTCGGCGGACGCACTAGAGCCAGGGTCTGAGCCAGCCTAGGCTCATTCCTCTTCCAGAGACGAGGCCGGGGATGAGCATACACGTGGAGCATCCGGGTCGCTACTTGGAAAGAAACGTCGCCCCTAAATTGTCTATTTACAGTCAATGAAACACCACGTAACTGATTTCAAAGAACCTTCGTTCTTGGTGATCCAAATTATGAGCTGTTTTACAGCAGATAGCTCACCGGACGGTATTTATTTTTAAAAATCACGACTCAACCTATGTACCAAAAGTCTGCATTGGAATGTAAGCCTTAAGAACGTGCGTAGATATACTTGGTCTAAGATGGTTCATATTGGTGCTCGCACCGCCCTCCGTGGCCTCCAGGAATGGGGTCTCATTTGCCTCCCCAGACCGCCAAATCACTGAAAGAAAGGTAAGCTTCAGTTTCTTCAAACTGGGGAAACTCGCCAGATACAGTTTGGAGGAGTATGAATAGGTTGCTATGGGGCTTATTTGCCCTCCTTTCGTCCAAACTCAAAATGCCCTTCGAAAGGTCACACCCAGGAGCCGCCACCTCCTCCCATCTGTGAGCAGACTCCGTTTACTTAGAAGGTCCCTGAAAGGTTCTTTGTCGGTTTTTCAGTCAGTGTCCGAAATGTCGGGAATAGGCGCCATTTGACTAGGTGTATGCTGGGGAAAACCGCTGTCAACAATGGCTAACGTCCAGTGTTCGTTTTGTATTTGAACTGTTCCATTCTGGGAGTAAGATCCGTGAAAGAAAATTCATTAGAAAATACGACCCTCTTAGCGACTATCACGTATGTAATTATTGTAGGGAGGTCATCATAATTCCTTTTTAGTGCTTGCCATGCCTTGCATTACACAAGCACTGTACTGTCCTAACACGCGCACGGGTGGCCGGCTATATACCCTTCGCTCAGGTGTGGGTCAGTTTGACCCCCTGAGATCTGAGAAACTAAGAGAGCTAGAGACACTAAATTCATAGGGTGTGTAGGTCTGTACGTGAACTAACTTGGGTAAGAAGGTCATGGTGATTAAAATCATGCAAGACTGCTTTGAGTTTTGCATTTGAATAAGCCACAAGGATTACGCTAGACACCATGTTCCTAAAACAAAATGTTGACATGGGTTGTTTTAGGTCAGTAACCTGCATAGAAGCAATTAGCAATTAGCAAGCAATTAAGCAATCCATAGAAGATATATAATGTGGCTCCTGTTATTAATGTATTCAAAGTGAGCACCAGAAGCTGCCCCATACAGCAAGCCCTAAAGAAATAAAACGAGTTGGTTTGACCTTGGTCTGACTTTCACACCCAACCCTAGGTTAATGGAATTTGTTCACTAATTGTTGCATTGCCTGAGAAAGTATCTCAGAAATATGTGGCTTCGTCTAACATTCCGTTGTGGTGTCAGATTGAACGCTTCCCTAGAAATCGTCTTCGCTGAATCCATGGCCTGACTGTGACCTGTTGTAGGTCAGCGACCTGATAGGGCACATCTGAAATGTTGATTTCAAACGATGCGCTATTCAACTGTCTACAGATTTGCAAAACTTGGCTCAGCTACGCCGTGCCGTTCGGAAACCGTTCCGGATAGCCTTCGGGCGGTCAAATTGACCCCTGCCTGAGAGTGCGTTGATATAAAATACAGTAACAAATGATAGGCAGTCTTTTTATGACCATGACGTTCTGAGCCGGAAGGCGCCTAAAACAGAGAGTTAAAAGGCATCATGTGACGGACAATATTTACGCGTCAATGCAGCTAACACCGCATGGAAGCCCTTCCACTCCAAACCCTGCACCTCTCTGCATTCCGCACATTCACGAGGCTGTCTATTGGTTGCGCTCCACTGACTAAACGGTGTTTGGACTTTATCCTCCCCCTTAGCCCCTACCCTCCGGGACGAGCAATTGATCAGGGGTCCTTGCGGTATTGTGAAACATTGGAAGCGCACGGCTTTGTCCAGAGAATGAATGTGCTGATTGGCACGCTGGGGTGCTTTTGTGTATTTGACTTGATTTCTTTTGATTTTTGCGTTTTGGCCTCGTTCCATTCGACTCCTGTCGTTTTGACTTACATTTTTCACTTTGTTGCTGTTGAATACTTTATCCATTTAAGTTTCATCACTTTTTGAATCGTATTCCGTTTGACTTACTGCCATCTGAGAGTGTCCCGTGGTTTGTCGCCTTTCGACGAGCTGCCGAGGAACCCGTGTGGGGCTCTGGCTCGGACAACGTCCTGACGGAGTTAAGCCAAAGTGGAATAATCAAACATATTGCTTGCCATCAAAACCAACGATGGCTATCATGACGGTGTTTCAGCTTGCTTGCGCTGCTAGATATTGTCATTGACTGAAGCTTCAGAACCAGCCAAATCCAACTCGCTCAGCTATGTCTGATCCCTTTCACACTCCTTAAACCTGTCTCTATCCCACATCTACCTAACCCCTCTCCCAAATTCCAAAAGAACTCTGATGTAGTAGCCGAGGCAATCTCAATTTAGTGATACAAGAACTTCAAGTGTAGCAGGCGTGATCCAATGTGTTCGTGATCCAATCCCTATGCAAGGCGTCATGCCACTCCAATTCGCTTTGATTTGATTCTTAGTTCAAATCAAACCAGTCCTAAAACGTTGGTCCTCAAACCTTCTGAAAAAGGTCAGTCCAGCCATGTGTTTATGTATAAGACATTGAGGTATTCAATCTGTGAAATGAATTCGTGATTCCGCTATAATATTCCCTGCGGTCAGAGGCTTGCCACAAATCGTAATGTCATTTATAACATGCAATGCGATGGCAACCCGAATATTACTGAAAACTTCAGACAATAATGGACCGGAATACCACTGGAAACGTCAGGCAGTGACGGACCAGAATATTACTGGAAATTTCAGGCAATGACGAAGCGGAATATCGCTGGAAACTTTAGGCAATAATGGACGAGAGTAGGCCGACTGGTCATCGTTTTAGGTCCAAGCTTCCACTTAGTGGGATTTGTATTTCTATAAACGTCTATTGGGTTAACTACAACGCCGAACGTGGTAACCGCTTCCGTCCCAGAGCCGTGCCGGGCCGGGTTGTGTCGTGCCGAACGTGGTGACCGCTTCCGTCCCAGAGCCACGCTGTGCCGTGCCGTGCCGTGCCGTTCCAAAGTCGTGCCGTGTCGCGTCGTGCCGTGCTATGCCGTGCCGTGCCGTGCCGTGCCGTGCCGTGCCGTGCCGTGCCGTGCCGTGCCGTGCTTTACAGCCCGAGCGACCTCTCTCGCCATATTTTTATCTCGATGCCCAGTCGCGCATCAGTGTGCTGTGAAACTCCATGAACGTTGACCAGGCTGGGGTCGGCCAGCGCCGGTTTTTTCCGCAGGTCGTGCCGGCCTGCGGCAGCCACGCGCCACGGCAGACGGCGAAAGGCCGGAGCTGTGTAACAGCCCGGCTGTTCCATTTATGTTCCCGAAAATTGTCCTTGGCAGGCACGGGCTGCCTTCGACATCCCTTTCTGACCCGTACTGGCGAGTCTAAAGAGTAACAAACATCTGGAGGCTCTGCGTCCATAATGGAAGTGTAGCGCAAACAAAGTCGCCATTTTATCACCCCCTCCAGCACGGCGGCGCGGCGCCAATGCTGTCTGACGGCAGCACGTCAGCGACGGAGGGCCGGCACTCCCTCCTCTGCAGTGACCTGGCGCCAGCGCCTCGCTGCCGCGAGAGTTCAGAGCCACCCAGGCCAGATTGTCGCATGCAGCCGTGCAGGGCCAACTGAAGCGGACAAGTTTTCCCATTAGGGGCCGGGTGGCGGGCGGCCGGCTCGCGCCACCGACTATTAGTTCGCCTGTGCACGGCAGTGACGTCACGCGAGCGTCTCCGCACCGACGAGATGCCCCGCCGTCTCTGGCTGACGGCGGAGACGCCGGAGCCTGCAGCTGTCCCCAGTCTGAAGATACTGCGGCTGACGGCGGAGACGCCGGGGCCTGCAGCTGTCCCCAGTCTGGAGATACTGCGGCTGACGGCGGAGACGGAGCCTGCAGCTGTTCTCAGTCTGGAAATACTGCGGCTGACGGCAGAGGCGCCGAAGGCTGCAGCTGTCCCCAGACTGGAGTTACTGCGGCTGACAGTGGTTATGTATGGCCCTGCAGCAGACCTCAGGCTGGATCCTGCGCCTGGCCGTGATGTCGTCCCCAGGCTGGATCCCACGCATCACCGCGGGGCCTTCCCCAGGCTGGATCCCGCGCATCACCGCGAGGGCTTCCCCGGGCTGGGGCCCATACATCACCGCAAGGCCTTCCCCAGGCTGGATCCCACTCATCACCGCAGAGCCTTCCTCAGGCTGGGTCCCGCGCCTGACGGCGAGGCATTCCCCAGGCTGGATCCCGCGCCTGACCGTGCGGCCGTCCTCAGGCTGGATCCCGCTCCTGATCGTGCGTGCGGCCGCCCCCAGGCTGGATACCACAACTGGCAGAGCGGCTGCACCTGTCCGTGGACAACGTCACGTCCGAGATGTCCTACATCACGGCCCTTTACTTCACCTGCACCAGCCTCACCAGCGTGGGCTTCGGAAACGTGTCCGCCAACACCAACAGCGAGAAAATCTTCAGCGTGGTCGTAATGCTGGTTGGAGGTGAGCTCGGAGCCGGTATTTGTAGATGGCTTTTCACCTGGATTCAATTCCCACGTGGAATGTTAGATCTAATCGAAGGCTTTCTCGAAATCGGGTGGGAATAAATTGCCTTGGCTTTTCTATCCTTTGCAATCCTCGGGGATAAACCTCGAAATACATCCTATAAATTTGAAACCAATGCATAGGAATGCTGCAGGTGTAGGTCATTTAGGAATTCGCAAAAAGGTTCGAAATTTGGGCATCCAGAATGTCATGATTACTGATAGTCTTTATAGGTCATGTACATGTGTAAAATTAGTCCATAGTCCCCATACTCTCTTCTCTGAAAGCCGGGATTCGTCCCACGCACATCATCCTTCATTGCGTTTTTAACATCACATGATGCCAGAACCCAGCAGAATTTCACCTGGAGGGAATGAGATTCCCCTGCTAACTAAATGTAATGATGCAAGTTAAGGTCCTTTTTAGACCTGGTTGTTCTTCACATGTCAGTGTTTTGTGTGGACTTTTTAACCTACACACTGCTTTGGGAGGAAGTGGTACATAGTACAATACTCCCCCCCCCCCCTTCGCCTCTATTTTTGCGTATCAAGTTAGTCAGATACAGGTCAGGGCTTGCTCACCATTTTGCGTATCACGTTAGCCAGGTACAGGTCAAGACTTGCTCACCATTTCGACAGTTGTCTGTCGATTGCTTCCGGCTCAAATCAGGCTACGACGCTCCATTAATCCAAGCACGGATAGCGTGACTGTCCAGTGGGGCCGTCATGCGGGTGGAGACAGTCACCGGTGCTCCTGGTCTGGACAGAGAGGCCCGGGTCACCCATCACCGTCATGATGCACGTTCGGGAGGGACGTTTCATAAGCCGAATTCCAATTTACTGTCCAAGTTGAGTTATGTACATGACGGAACGGTCTACTGAAGCAAGCCACAGACGTGTTCAACGATAATGCCAAGGCTTTAATGGAAGTTGGTGGCGCTCGACTATGCCGCATGTTATCTCCAGGCTCACCTTTTACCGTGCAATGTGCTGCCATGCTGGTCCAAGAATGGCATGGTCTACCGTTAAGAAACGACCTACGAAACGGCGATCTTTTGGGAAACAGTTGCTCCGTCTATGCTCTTTATAACCGAGAAATATAGGGAAATGTAAGGCAGCCGGCATCCACGTCTCTTGATTTCTCAGCAGACCTTTGTCATCAATATATAGGTGTGATCTTCAACTGCTTTGATGCAAAAAGCCGACGTAACAGAAGATAAGGAGGCTCATAGACCAACAAGGTTTCTTCCCTACTAGCGACGAAAGGGAAATGTGCTAATATGTGAACTATCTTCTGACGATTCTTTTGCACTTTTACTACAGTCATGTTTTACGCAGGAATAAAAACACAACATTTACGTTGGACGTGATATCAAACATTCTTCGTATTCTCGGAACACATATTCCATGACAGTCACTCTTCGGGTGAGGTGTGCACGATCGCATTTTGTTACCATAGCAACAACGAAGGGCCGGAATGTTGACCGCGGCCTCATTCATGCTTTGTCCGCCCTGCACGGAGTCAGCTGGACGCGGAACGTGTTTTGCTGCGTGCAGTGGGCGTGGGATCCTTTTGGTCGGCTGACCGCGTTTGACCGCCAGCCATTAATGCCTGGGCTGCTACAGCTCGTCGCCATTGCTGGCCTCGTGATTGCAGCTTGCCGGTCAAGATCTGGTCGCATCAGTCCAATTCGTGTTCACGGTTCGTAAATGAGGCGTTTCGAAGCACCACTTAAGTCACGAATCTGCTTAACAAACCAAGCTGCCATCTGATTATGCCGGTTCAGATCCCAAACTGAGCCACCCCGCCACTCGAGCTCCTTTGGGTATGTGATACGCGTTAGAGCCCGGCCGCGCGGCCCCGTCCCCGAACTCCGCTCGATGTGTGCCGCGCGGTGGGGCCGGCTGCGCAGCTGCGTCCCTCGAACCCCGTTTGGTGTGTGACGCGCGGTGGAGCCCGACCGCGCGGCCCCGTCCTCGAGCTCCGTTGGATGTGTGACGCGCGGTGAGGTCGGCCGCGCAGCCCCGTCCCTCGAGCTCCGTTGGATGTGTGACGCGCGGTGAGGTCGGCCGCGCGGCCCCGTCCCTCGAGCTCCGTTGGATGTGTGACGCGCGGTGATGTCGGCCGCGCGGCGTGGCTCCCAGGGGCGTCGCTCCCCCGCCGCCAGGTGTGCCGCTGACGGCTGGCCACCCGTGCCGCGCCGCGCCACCAACCGATCGATGGGAGCGGGACTTCCTCCAAACTCGCGGCTGGCTCCGGTCTCTGCCTCACTGACCTCGGCCGGCGGCCGTCGCCGAGTCGCCTCGCAGTATTGCCTCGCCCGCACCCCTCCGGCTTAAAACAGCGGCACCAGTCCCGCTTTTTGTGGAGGAGCCTTCGAACTTTCCACTCAGCGTTGCCGCCTGGTACACGTGGGGAATGCGCGCCACTAACTTCTTGCGACGGTGGGGACACATTCCGGCTGACGAGTGCAGCTCTTCATATCATGGAAGCACTCAAAAATACTCGTGAAGCCATTCACATGATACAGCTGTACATGCCAGCGAAGATCCCGCGTTACACATGATACCATTACGGCATGCCGGTGTTTCGTGCTATGTGTTCTCTCTGTCGTAAACGTGCCTACGTCTTTCAGTGACCTGTGTGCACCTTCACGTGCGGAAAGGATTTTCATCATCTTAAGTGCACAGGAAAAGTTTCAAAGCACTGCTATCAAAACGATCATGCGATTTGTGTCACAAGAACTACAACAGTTGAACTCGATGCTAATTTATTCTCTCATTGGTCTGGCGCAGAAAACATTAGGATCCCGAATTGGTACATTATCGGAAATAAATCTAGATATTTTCCATTCTTTGTTACTTTTTCGTGCATCCTTTAGAGAGTCTCATGGATAGCGTTTTATTATCGGCCCAAGTAATTGCACCTTGTGCGTGTTAGGCACTCTTGAATAGTATCACCAGGCGATTTGGTTCCATCCATTTTAAAGCGAAATGAGCTCTGCAGCTAAATTGCTTGCACTAATTTGAGAAATCGGGCGTCATCTGCACGCTCGTTTCATAAGCTGAAACGTTGAAAGACATCCACAGTGATTAAGATTTGACGAGGCTTACGTCAGACGCAAAGTTTGCCGACAGAGAATGATTGCTCACGCGTGTGGGTGCCCCAATCTCAACTCGATTCTAGCGTCCGACTCTTCTCAACAATGATGGGAGAGGACGAATGATGTACAGTGGTGGGAGAGGACGAATGATGTACAATGATGGGAGAGGACGAATGATGTACAATGATGGGAGAGGACGAATGATGTACAGTGGTGGGAGAGGACGAATGATGTACAATGGTGGGAGAGGACGAATGATGTACAATGATGGGAGAGGACGAATGATGCACACGGCATTCGTCAGCCCAATGCCCACCAGAGGCGCTTCTGTACTTCCCCGACATAGGAACAAAACCTGTCGGCGGGCGGCCATAGGCCCCACGGCATGTTTAAGATCCAGCCGGCTTGGCCCGGACTCGCGGGCACATGTGCTGTGAGCCGCGCTCACGGTCCCCTGATGTTCCAGCCCTGATGCACGCTGCAGTGTTTGGAAACGTCACGGCCATAGTTCAAAGGATGTATGCAAAGCGCTCCTTGTATGATTCCAAGTGGAACGATCTGAAAGACTTTCTCACACTGTATCAGGTACGTATGAGTGCAGTTGAATGTGAGAGACCCCGCGGGTCTTCATGAGAGTGTTTCATTTTGCTTTCTCACCCTATAACTATGATGTTTTATCACACCTGACCATTAATATCGTTATGCTAGCATTGCCATACAACATAAATTGAAGCTTTAGACAATGAGCGCAGCATCTGTATCAAATGAAAGAATGAAGCATGGCGTGCCTTAAAAAGCACGAACCTAAATTCGCGCCCACGATGCATTGTCATTTTCAGGTACCCAAGGAACTAAAGCAAAGAATACAGGACTACTTTCAAACAATGTGGTCTCTAAATCATGGCATAGAAATGGGTGAGGTAAGTACAGCCTGCCATTGCACCTTACATTGCTATGATGCCGCTTTTTCCCCTGTGCGCGTTCGCGCGTAGTGTGAACGGAGTCGTTGTCTGGCACGTTCCCCGCACCACTCGGATCGCCCCTCTGCAGAAGCTGTGCGGTTCTACGGCGAACCATACCTCCCTCACCCTTATATGTCGGCTCTCTTAGCCAGAGAATATGTATTGCATTAGCACTTAATTAGTAACTTGTTAATATATGCTTATATATATATATATATATGTATATATATATATACATATATGTCTGTGTGTGTGTGTGTGTAGGTATGTAAAACAGCACTGTTGGCCTTATTCCTTGTAGAACAATCAGGAGAGGCGATAGATGGATGTATTAATATTTCGGCTACATGCCTTTATTGGAAAAAATCAAGATACATATATAAACATATCTTATATATATATATATATATATATATATATATTCGTATACATATTATATTTGTATCCGTTTCGATCAAGGCATGTAGCCGAAATACCAGTGCATATAGCTCTCCTTTCTTCTTGTTATCCCAAGAAAAATAAGGCTTATTCTACCGTCTCAGCACTTAGCTTGTGTTTTTTCAACACCAGTCTTGCCTCGTACTAATCTGCTTCTGCCGTCCGTCTCTAACTTGTCACGTTCGTCTACACAACTGGTACTACTTGCCCATACAATCTTGCTACTCATTCTCAGAATCGGCATTGTCCGCTGTTAGAAGAATCGGCACTGTCCGCTGTTGGACGCGAGCTTGCTCTGTTCGTGGATCGTTGTTTTTTTCCAGTGGCACAAGGAATGTGATTCGATTACCGTTGACTCTCCGTATTCTCTGAGAATGCGTTCGTATCCGGCGAGCATGCTTTCAGAACAACGAAAGCTATTTCGGATTGGTACGAAAGGACGGGAAAATACTGCTATGTGTCACATAGAGTTCCACGACTATTGGAGTTTCGTTACTGCACAGTCGATGCCCCTTTAGCCTGCAAAACCAGCCATAAGAAAGTCTTCCTTCAAAAGTCACCGAAGCATTTATCTGTAAACTGTTCGTGACTGCTCACTTTGTTGAAATCCCTCAAACACGGATGGCCTTCCGGCAAGTGTTTGGCTGGCGGCCCTCGAACGCCACGACATAACATGGCAGATATAGCCACGGCCGGCTGATCCAGCGGGCTGCCGAGCGCTATGTGGTCTGGCCTATCCTATGGGATTGCCGTGCGCTATGTGGTCTGGCCTATCCTTTGGGGTTGCCGTGCGCTATGTAGTCTGGCCTATCCTATGGGGTTGCCGTGCGTTATGTGGCCTTGCCCGCCCGATGGGGTTGCCGTGCACTATGTAGTCTGGCCTATCCTATGGAGCTGCCGAGCGCTATGTGGTCTGGCCTATCCTATGGGGTGGCCTGGCGCTATGTGGTCTGACCTAACCTATGGGGCTGCCTGGCGCCCTGTAGGCTGGCTGGCGCTCGGTGAGGCCGGTGCGAGGGCGGAGGCGTGATGGCCGAGTGGTTAGGGCCTTCGGCTTTCACGGGAGGGGGTCCGGGTTAGAGCCCCGCTTGCGCCATGGCCTCTGTAGTCGTTGGTGCTATTTGAACTCTTTTGTCGTGATAATACTTTCTAGTAAAGAACTGCTGGTGCTGTATAGTTTGGAACACTTTTAAGGCAAATCAATTGGGGAGGTGTTTATCGTAATACACCGACACTACAGTTATTCAGTGGGTAGATGTATCTTGTCATACACCCCTACTAGTTCTCCTAGTTTTTCAGTTAATTATGAACGTCATGTCTTAATTTGAACCCTTGCTGATAGACCAAAAAATAATTTGCGTAAATTGACAACATACCCATACACATATTTTTGCGGCGTCGTGTCTGTTCACACGAGAGACTTTTGTCCCCCAGGTTTTCTTGGTTCTCTTGGTTTTGTCCGCATTTCAGGATATTGAAGAAAGCATGAAATATGATGCAATAACTCGCTTATAACTATTAGTCTACCTTTAAGTGGAAAAGACCGCTCTAGATAACACAATTTCTCTTTTAAGTGAGTATGCTCCTCAATACATACTTGGTTATGTCATCGTACCACCTTGCACAACACTGATCGAGAGCCATTTGGAGCCGTTGTATCTGAAAAGTGCACTCACAAACGCCAGATATGAACGAGATGACAACTAGATTGTTCTTGGCCTTGACCACCGCATGGCCAGCGGAATGGCAGGTCATTGAATTGTTACAATTGAAATTGAATTGAATTGTATTGTTACAATACAATTGAATTGAAATTGTTACTGCGTCACGGGTGCCTGAGTGACCTTGAAATAGTCTGCACATCTTCGCGGGTGTGTACACATCATCACATCTGCACATCTGCACACATCATCTGCACAAAAAAGAAAAAGCCTGCACATCTTCGCGGGTGTGTACCTCAGGAACTAGAGGGGGTCTAGGTCTGGACCAGGGCAGGGCTGTGAACTGCACCGAATGGTCTTCAGTGTTATGATATCAGTTCAAAACCCCATGCAAATGCAAATGTTAATTTTCCCGATAAGGTTCCGAAAGCGTTCCGCGGGTCACACCGTATTATAACTTGTTCTGCGAGCCAAATTATTTTGTTGCCGGTGACTTAGATCCGAGTGGCGTGGCGACTTGTTGACGAACAGAGGCTGCGAGCTGCCGCGAGTTCAGCGTCTTTGCGTGTTTTCCGGTTCAGGATAACAGTACGGATTTTAGGCAGCGCTTCTGGGCTGTTGGCGCTCGGACTGAAAGAGTTTCGTCAGATATTGCCGACACAGCGGAGCAGTTTACGGCTCTCAGGAGACGCCTGGCAAGTCTGGCGATGGGAACATGTCATCAGGTGGCCGGCCGCTAAGTGAAGTGAGCACTTCCGCAGCCGCTCGGCCAAGGGCCTCCAGCGGCACCCGCCGGCGGGGCGGACCTCTGTGCGGACCCTCCCGCGCTGTGCAACTGCCTCGCCAGTCCGCCTCGCTGCCGGGACGCGGCAGCTGGAGGCGTCGAGACGCGGCACCTGGAGGCGTCGGGACGTGACAGCTGGAGGCGTCGGGATGCGGAAGCTGGAGGCGTCGGGACGAACGCATAGTTAAAGGCGCCCTTGCCACGAGGCCAAATCTTGCCGTGTGCAAATGGCCCGTTGTTGGCCGTGTCAACGGCCTGCAGGTGGTGACTGTGTTGACTTGGGTTTCTGCACCCGAGCCACTTTGCCCTCTACATCCTGATCCCAATTCTGAACCTGGAATTCAGGAGTACGATTGAGGGACTGGCAAACTTCAACGATGAAAAAGGGAATTGAATTTTCGTGTCTCTTGAGTTGTGATACGGTGAGGGTTGCGTTGACTTTCAGAAGATATTTACCAGATAATGTCTGGTATTTGGTTCGAACAAAACGTCTTGGGATAACACTAGTCGATAGTAACAATAATCTTTAGTAACACTTGCCGTTAGTGACACTACCACTTGACCTTTTTAAAAATTGCGCCAAGCGCCGATGGGGCCATTCGGGTGCCTCCGTTCCCAGCATTGAGGCGAAATATGTGATAGGCTGTTTGCATATGGCACCGAGAGAGCCGTTTATAGTCGTTCGTGGAAGACCTGTTCACTCATCACAAGATGGCTGTTATTTTTTTAAATATATTACAGGGATATCGTTTTATTCAGAAAACCAGCTTTGATATAATAGGCGTGTCGTGCGCCGATCGAGGCAGTCCAGGGCGTGCCACTCGGAGCTGTGGGCATCGACGAGCTGCTACGTCAGATGCAGCATTCGAGATCATGCAAATCTCTAGGGCCTCGTAATGTTGAGAGCATTCATATATGCATGCACTGCTGTGGCCATGGGCATTAAACCCAATCCCAGCCTTGCGATGTTGGGTCCAGTAAAATGGGCCTGAGCTTCCGCCAGCCATTCCATCTCAAAACTAACACCGCATCCAGCAAGTATATCCGGCCAGCTGGTGGGGACCGCCCGACCGAATCGTCAATGACTAGGTTGAACCTGATTCTGCGCCCTGGGAGGAGCTATTGCGCAATGAAACAACAAAGGCACGCCTGCCATCATAACTTTTAATGGGCTGCCGTGTTATATACCACTGTCTATTAAAAAAGTTTTAGTTGGCATCTCATCCCTGCATCTCGTTTTTTCATATCGGCATCGAGTTCTCTCCCGGGAAGTCCGCAGTGCACACGAGCAACCAGTGCGCGCGAGAGAGATCCTTTCCGCGTGACCGCCTGCCCGCTCCTCCTTCTGCGTATGTGTTGTCATATGGCAGATTCGGCTGATGTATGGATCCGCGTCTCGGGAGATCCTCGGCGTACCGGCTGCCAATGGACCATAATTAGCGCTGGGTCATTATTAGTTCCCCGTCTGGATCATAATTAGGTCCGGATTTTACGCCCAACTGTTTTTCGGTTCATTTCGTGCGTGTATTATGGTGTTGTTCCCCCAGTTCGCTGTCTTCGCAGTTGCGCTGTGATTAAGGCGGCACCCTCACGGGTATTCGAAGCGCACGACGGTAACACTGACTCCGCCCCTGGTATCTCGGGATCCGATGGTCGGATTGGAAACATGCCGATACCCATCGGAGTCCCGCTCAATCACAGCTGGAACGCCCCTGGTATCTCGGGATCCGATGGTCGGATTGGAAACATGCCGATACCCATCGGAGTCCCGCTCAATCACAGCTAGGAACGCCCCTGGTATCTCGGGATCCGATGGTCGGATTGGAAACATGCCGATACCCATCGGAGTCCCGCTCAATCACAGCTAGGAACGCCCCTGGTATCTCGGGATCCGATGGTCGGATTGGAAACATGCCGATATCCATCGGAACCCCGCTCAGTTACAGCAAGGAACGCCCCTGGTATCTCGCGATCCGATGGTCGGATTAGAATCATGCCGATACCCACCGGAGTCCCGCTCAATCACAGCTAGGAACGCCCCTGGTATCTTGGGATCTGATGGTCGGATTATAAACATTCCGATACTCATCGGAGTCCCGCTCAATCACAGCTAGGAACGCCCCTGGTATCTCGGGATCCGATGGTCGGATTAGAAACATGCCGATACCCATCGGAGTCCCGCTCATTCACAGCAAGGAACGCCCCTGGTATCTCGGGGTCTGATGGTCGAATTAGAAACATTCCGATACTCATGGGAGTCCCGCTCATTCACAGCAAGGAACGCCCCTGGTATCTCGGGGTCTGATGGTCGAATTAGAAACATTCCGATACTCATGGGAGCCCCGCTCAATCACAGCAAGGAACGCCCCTGGTACCTGGTACCTGGCACCTGGTACCTGGTATCACGAAATTCTTCTATCACGAGCGATTTCTGGGCCCCTTACTGCACTTGACATGTTTTGTACCAATTGATAGCCAGCCCCGGGGCAAAAGGGCACTAGAGCGCAAAAGCAAGCAATTCTTCGCTTCAGAATCATCCAATTATTTTAACGATGATCAATGCCGGGTCAAGTTCAGCTCAGGTCAACGGCAGCTTACCTAAGTGGTTATTATTTTGTGCTGTTTTTCTGGTTCATGCAACATATGGAGATCGATGCTTCAAGATACGTGGGTTACACTGAGTTGTTCATCACAAACGGACATAAAAAAATCATTTGAGTTCAAGGTTTATATGTTGACAAACATGACTTCCGATGACGCCTGGTGCGACCTCGTATGGCGTGACTGGCCCAGACTGGCAGAGAGCCAAGCCGGTCGATTCAATTCGTCACAGCAATTCAAAGTACGAAAAAAAACTGCGAATTTCTGCTCGATGGTCCGTCCCGCTAGCTCAGTTGGCTAGAGCTCCTGTCTTCGGATCCACCCGCGATTGGTAGGTTTCAGTGGCTTTAAGTGTCTGGCATTTGCCCCTGACTGGGATGACCTGCAGCCGAACACAGAGGTCGCACTAACGGTCTGGTGACGTCTGACAGGTGCGCAGGGCAGGGCGTGCCTAGCATTGCGGCACGTTGAGCTTTTGCCACAAACTGTCTGTCGTTCACCCAGAAGTTCGTAATCGGATGGCGGGATCAGGTTTTGCGAAACAAGCTCTGCTCAGCGTGAGCTTCGCAATCGGATGGCGGGATCAGAGTTTGCGAAACAAGCGCTTCTCAGCGTGAGCTTCGCAATCGGATGGTGGAATCAGGGTTTGCGAAACAAGTGCTGCTCAGCGTGAGCTCTGATTTCAGAAATCATCCAACCAACTTACTGTGCAGGCCTCCACTGATGCCGTCGAAACGCAGTGACCTGACCCAATGTCGAATTTGTTTTTCCTTCGGAATGGTGTGCACAATTTTCCCATGTCTCTGTGGGCGAAGATTCATAGACGCAGGAGGTATTATGTGCATCACCATAGCAGTCTGTCTCTTTGTTTTAGATGGTGACGTTTTTTGGATGAAAAATGTCAGAGCAAGAGCCCGATAAGTGTGTACTGGTAATTGGGAAATCGGGAAATCGTGGTAGTCGGTAACATTATAATGGAATAATTGCTACCAATAATTTTGCAACGAATCTCCTACACTCACGTAATACGCGTTTGTGGCAATTTTCGTGAGCCATTACTGCCGATTGAAAGTGTATCAGTGCGTACCGCGTTTTTTATTAACGTGGTCTGCACCGAATGTTGAATTAATAAACACCTGGATTCGATCCAACCACCTCGAAACGGTGCTGCACAAGCAGGAACAGTGAACGCCGAAGAGACATCAAATAAACCGTGAACACAAAAAATACCCACTTAACGGCAAGCTGGCTGGAAACCAACCAGGCGCACTTCCCTCATGAACTCGACTAATTTCGATGTCGCCGATGAATTCGACGTTGTGCTACATCGCGGTCCTTCACCTGCCGGCACTCTGCCATGACCCGTGGCCGGTGTTGCGGCGTCAGGGCGTGGCCGTGGGCGGGGCCGCCGCCAGCTGCAGCGAGCCGCTGTCCGGCAGATTCTGCGCGACTTTCCGGAGGAGCTGCGCGGGGACGTCTCGATGCACATCCACCGGGAGCTGCTGCAGCTGCCCATCTTCGCGACGGCCTCCACCGGTTGCCAGAAGCTGCTCTCGCTGCATGTCAAGGACAGCTTCTGCGCGCCCGGCGAGTACCTGGTGCACTGTGGCGACGCCCTCCACTACATCTACTACCTCTGCAACGGCAGCATGGAAGTCGTGCAGACCGACATGGTGGTCGCTATTCTAGGTAAGTGAGGAGGATGTTTTCTTCATAGCAAAAGCGTTCCCTGTTTCCCATGTTCGAATATGTCCGGCGTCTTTGTTGCTTTGTTCTTGAAAGTGCCAGATGGCAGGCTGGTCCCATTTATCGGCTGTAGTCTTTGTACATATTTCGGGGAGCCTTCTTTGGTCCAGATTTTCAGCAGCCATGTCCAAAGTTTCGAGAACGGACCCTGCCCTGGCTCGTCACGTCTCACTATGCTCTTATTTGGCAAGCTTAAGTGTTGTCTGTGTGGCCTAAATGATAACGGATAAAGTTGCAAGCTGTGGAAAAGACAGGCTCCGCCCGTGATGGTCGACGCAAAACATTGGAATATTTGCGGGAGGTATGAGCCTCAGCAATCAGCCCTACGCTGCCCCTAGACCTCGCAGCTGACCTCTATAGCTTGTACACAACATCCAGTTCGTTCCGCACGCGTGCGCAGCTTTCGTCAAGCATGCAGCCCATGGCGAAAGTAATATTAGTTTAAGCCTGCCCGCCGCAGCTGTCCAGCATCTGGCCGTGTGTGTTCTCAGCCAACAGGCCTGCATTGTCAGCTGCGGTGCTTACCGGCAGCTTGCAGCGCCAGCCGGTGCTAGCGAGCCCTGGGGACAGTGGCGACCCGGGAACACGTTTCTCCACTCTGCCTCCACTCACCCAGCGCGTGCGCACCCAACTCCGGCCGCTAACCGACGCCCCCCCCCCCTCCCCCTCCCGGGCGTGCGGGCGGAGAAGGCCCAGCTGGGCTCGGTGCAGGTCCATCGATTGACCATCTATCGTTGGCTACCCATGGTGCGCGGCATCAGCATTTTGTTTGTCTATAGGAGGATGTATATAAAGAAGAGAAAGTGTGAGAGGGGAAAAGAGATGGGGGGGGGGGGGGGCAGAAAGAGGAGCAAAAGAGGGAATTGCCGCTTCTACAGCTGTGTCACATTTATGTGGCATGTGCCCGGATAACAAATGGGGCAATATCACATTCTTTTTCCCAAACCAGTCCATGGATCTTGGAGAGCATGCTACTTCTCCCGCCTGGGAGCGCAAGGCATGTGGTCCGTCACCCTGGGTTGTTCAAGATGCGTGCCTGGATGCGCTGGGTGTAAGACAGGAGTCTTAATCTCAGCAAATTTAATGATCAAATCTGCCAAGCTTAGTCAACCTGTATTAAACTTATGCTGCCTCAATCCCTTGCCCACAAGTTCGAAATGTCTATGAGTGGTCTGACTCGCAGCTGGGCTGTGGCAGCTCCAACACCAGCCCATGCCCATGCATATTAAGTCATGCGTACAGAATGAGCAACAAAGATGACAGTATAGGTCATATAACAACAAAGGCAACAACATGTTGCAGTTAAGAAAGCGCAGTTTAGCAAAGTAAAGTGAGAGGGGTTAAGTAGGGATAGGAGGTTAAACCAACCTCGAAATGCAAAAAACGATGGCCCTTTTCGCTCAAAGTGTGAGGGTGGCTACGGCCTCGATCTTACAGAGGTAACTGCACCCTAACCAGCAATCTATGTCTGAGGCTTAACGTTAAAAAGTGTGTATTTGACTCACTGGTTTCGTACATAACTGCAGATATTGCGCACGCGATTATTTGAGAAAAAAGTATGTGCTCGTGTCGAGTAGCTTGTTCGCAGCATGCTAAATGTTCCAGGTCCTTCCATGCACGATACCTTGCATAGCTTACAGTTTAAAAACACTTTTTCCACAGGTTTGTTACGATTGACCAGCGTCGGACAACGTACAACGCCTAATTGGTGTGGGGGCTGGCTTCCGTGCGCGCGTGTGCTGAGCCCCATCCCACCCTTTCTTAGAGCATTGTTGGCGATCAAAGATGGCGTGAATAGCCTCCGCCAACAGCATCTGTGGCAATGAGAGGCGTAGATCATGAAAGACCATGTCTTGCGCACCCGCGTGATGACGTGAGTCCAGACCGGCCCAGTAAAACAATGTGATTCGTTTGCTTGCGCAAGTTCAAGTTCATGTATGTAGCTGCTCACTTGCCAACTTACCCCAGCTTTATTCACTGCTTGGCTTGGATTACATAACAATGAGGCATATAATCAGGCTGAGCATAAGTTACACACGGCCCATTTTAAACCAGACGTCAATTTGTCTTCATATAGCCGCCATTCATAATCTTGTAATCAAACAGCGGGGCGTGATGTTCGTCGTTTTTCAACCCATGGCTTCTTGTCCATGATATCAGACTGATCCTCACCTTTGGAAAATTCCGTGTCTTCCCAAATATAAGCCCGAAGACGCGCTGAGAGGTAATACGAGCCTGACTGGAGTTAAAGATGTGAATCGCTCAGGGCATACACTGAGACAGTGACGCTCGCCAGTGCGATGTTCGAGATCAGAACTGGTTAGTTACACGGAAATTCATTCGAGACCTTCATACAACGTTTACGAAGTCAAATGTTAGCATTTGTTTCGCAGCAATCTTGGAACTTTGAGACGCTCAGGGGACCCATTGCAATGCATGCGATTCAGATTGTGCTTGCCGGCTTGTTCAGGCATCACGTACGAGTTAGAGTAGAACCGGGGTCGGACGGAAACTCGGACCGGGGCTCGAGAAGTCGAATTTACACCTTACACCTAAACTCTTACCACTCACTCTTGCACCTAGACTCTCCCCACTTACTCTTACATCCAAACGCGCACCAGGACTCGGACGTTTTCTTTAAAATGGACGCCACGATATGGTCGCGCACTGTTTTATTAAGCTCCAGGGACTGCGGAGGTCACGTTATCTTTCAGAAACTATGGTTCAATCAGGGTTTGAACCCGAGCCGTACACATGTGATCCGAAGGCTCTAAACACTAGGCCATGGCTTCCCCTGGGACTCAGACGGTTATCGCTAGAGTATTAATGGGAATCTTTGGTATGGCATAGCTTGTAAGCAAAAGACGATATATGAAAATGGAACGACATGGGTATCGAATAGATCAATGTTGTGATTGGTAGTGTAGTGGTTAACGCGTCGGCGTTAACTACTACACCTCTGGGAAATCAGAGGTGCGGGTTCTATTCCCCGAGGCACCCGTCCTTTCCGCCGAGGCGAGAGGCAGGCGACGCCATATAGCGTCAGCAGCTGAGTGCGTCGTAAAGCCCCAATGATGGAAGGGGAATGTTCGTATGTGACAAAGACCGCATGGTTGGAGTTTGCATAGCCAAATATCGAGTGTGACAAAAGCATGCAGGATAAAATCTTCCCGGGATGAAGCTTGTAAGGGACGGTAAAGGATGACATATAATGAGGACCATGTGCTAAAACACCATACTTCATAGGGACCGCACGGGTATGTAAGTGCGTACGTATAACGTCGTGGAGTATTCCACCGCTGCAGTGGCCATTAATTCCCGACGCAAACGTGAGATAAAACATCCTATCATCATTTATTGCACGTTCGCTTTTGCTTGTCATGCAGTACACGTAAACGCAGCACGCAGACTTTCCACACATTTCCGGCAACGGCCTAGTCCGACGGCCGGTCTAGCGTATGGCGCTTAATGGCTCGCGGGATAGGTCGTGCGGAAAAGTTCGCACGCGACCAAGATCCCGTGGGATAAAGGTTGTATGGCCGACTTCGTCTCCTTGGCACGACTTCGCACGACGGCGCAGCCTGTAGCTGGCGCGGCACCGGCGAACGAGGCCGCTCGCCCTCCATCGGACGACCGGAACTGAACCGCTGCCTGGCCGCACACCATCGTCGGCCAGAAATGCTGTTGGAGCCTGCACACGTGCTGCGGAATACAGCCGCGTTCGATTTTGTCCCTGATGCCTCCGCTCGGAAAGCATCCATCCAGTGCGTGGCGGAAGCTTGCGAGAAATTTTGGGATGTGAGCGGGTTTTGAAAGACCAGTTTAGGTTACATAAAAGTTTTCGTTGACTAAAAATTTTATTTGATTGCCGCGGCCGGATGCCACATTTTACGCGCAATGTCCATAAATGCGGCTCGATAGCGGTTCGTAGCCCATAATTATGTTTTATGGTGCGCAGCTTAACAAAAACAATTCCAAGATTCTTTTAACACTTAAGCTACTGGATGTAGCGTTGAACGGGGTGTTCAAGTGCTTCCAACTGAAAATGCAACCAATACTCAGCTCTTTTTTCGCGAAAGTTTCTTAGTTCCGTTCACCTACTCAATTTATCGCTTCTTACCTCTGATCCTACGATAACTTTGCTATGGACCTCTTTCATATGCTACCCGCTTGCCGATGTAAGTGATCATTTGCCGACGCTATCTTTCACCACATAAATACATTTATCACTCCTGATCTTTCCCCAGTGCGACCTTCAGTGTGTGTTTCTTACATTCGTAATTTTCCAACGATCCTTTGCACGGCGAGCATTGCTCTGCCGTCACTTCCCTCGCAATATTTTCCTTGCGATCTCTTGCACATATTTTCTCTACCATCTGCCGCAATGCCACACTTATTCGTGACAACCTTTTTTTGACGGTCCTTTTTGCCTATGTTTTGCTTACGATGTTACCCAATATTCCTTGGGCACGATCCTCTGTCGCACAAGCTTTTTCTCCAAAACAAGGTTTTTCTCGACGTATCTTCCTCACATTCTTTTCCCATCTGATCCGATTCTTTGACTGTTAGTTATGCTGCCATCTAATATCCTGGCTGGCAAACGGCTCGGACTATGAGCACCTCATAGCCTTTTTGGCACTCGAGTCAAAGGGGCTGGTTTATACACATATTAATGATTCAGGATTCAGACGCGGACTAGAATGTTTCTCAAACCTGTAGCTCAGTCTAAACTTTGAACTTCATGTACGTTTCAACTATAGATAAGGGCCCCTTTTTAACAGGAAAAATGTTGCGCAAAAGGAAGCCTGGTGTACAAGAGCTAGATTTCCCACGGTCTTCGTGCAGACGTCATTTGGCGCCTGTGTTTCTCTTCCCGGTTCCGTGATGGCCCCCATCCCACGCCGGTGATTGGTGCCGCCCCGAGCGGCGCCGACCGATGGGTCGGAGCCGCGCCGGCTGGCCGGGTCGTTTCCAGGGGACACCGGGCCGCCGTCTGGGCACGGTCGATGGGCGGCTCATTTCGCCTCACAAACGAGTGCGGTGCAGCGGGCCCGCGTCACCAGCGCCGGCGCCGGCGGGCCGGTGGACTGCGCCGGCCCGCCCGGCCCGCTCAGACCCGTCACCAGCGCACCAGCAGCCGCCACGGCCGATCCGGTGACGCGGCCGGGTGCGACGACGCTGACGTTGATATGAGACGGCGGCGGCGAATAGAGCTTAGCCGGTGCCAGGTCACACTGGTAGAAGCTTGGTGCTTCTGGCTGGGTTGAGTTTCACCTCCCATGAAAAGCACGTCTGCCTGGGTGCAGCACCTGCATTTAGCCCGCAGGCAGCTCGGCCCGCCGTTTAATGCCTGCCCACGCCGGCTTTGTTCTACGGCATACAAGCATGCATATTTCATGGAGACTGTCCGTTTCAGGCCGTTGCTCCAGACGATGTGTCAAAGTCAATCTCATTTCATCAGTAAAGTGTAAAACGGGTGACTGTTTCCAGACAGAGGAAGTTAATGCATAAGAAGGAAGCATGCATAGCGTTAGTCGCACGCTTGGAGGGACGTCGCCAGAGGGTGCATTACGTAGGGCTCATTATGAGTCTTGTTTGGCTCTCTTCCCTCCTGCCATGAAACTGAAAGGTGCATCACTTGTAATCTTGTGTTGTGAGGGAGACATTATTTGAGACGGCAGGCGCTGCACGACAAAGATGTGCGTGCCCCGTTCCCGCGTCATTGCTGACGGCAGCCTGTCCGAGCAGGCTGACCGCGAGGCGTCTCACGAACGGGGAGACACGTCCAACGAGTCGACCGGGTGGGCAGGCTGGGTTCTATGCCAGGCGCAGCTCTATTCTTTCCATTCTGATCAGTGCATACAAGTTTTGACGTCTTTCGCTTTTTTGGAGGCGCGTGTTTATAGCTGTTCTCAACATTTCTACCATCTTTGTTTACTTTTCAGAAATCAGACGCTTGTGAAAATATGTTATGCTGGGCTCTGTGCGTTTCGAAGCGTAATATATGTACCGCTCACTAAGGTTTAGTGTTTCTTCATAGCCGTTTCAGCATCACCTTGTGCTTTGGTACCATTCACAAATGTACCGAAACTAAACCGCTTTGTCCGAAAAAGGAAAGGCTGGAAGGCCGCAAAATTGCAAATGGCACTGAACCCATGAACGTAGCCTACGGTTTTGTAAAGCCGGGAGAAATACCTTCTGGAAACAATGACTTCTGAATAGTTGCCTTCGCCACACTTGCTGAATGCGTCATACTTTTCGAAGGCCATCGCCACAGCGTTCGTGAAGTGCTGTCGTTTTCCACATTCCGCCTTTCAGGCTGGGATGCCATATTTTCGTCATATTTGTGGACGATTTGCGGTGGTTTAGCGACTGCAGCTTTCTTGTGCACCTACATATATAACATGAGTTAGGAGTATTTTTGTACCTTAGGGGTGACTTACACCGCGACCAGCGCTTCCGGACCGTCTGCAGTCGACGCGGCCTTTAACACCACCATCCCGTGACGAGCAGGCCGTTTTGGATATTGGCATAAACAGCCATGGGCGTACATTACATGCCAGTTTTTATGGCATCCTATAACTTTGACCACAACCGACGCCCGAAAAACATGTGAGCACACCGTTACGTTCCCGTTACTGTCAACTGGGGTGACCTAAGCGCATCTTTTAGATGAATAGATGCACAGGAGTCTGTGGAACACATCGAGAATATTTCATAATTCTTGAGCATTTTTGTTTTGTAGGATTGAGTCCGAGCCTATCGATTGGACCGATTCCTGGGATCTGATGCTTGAGCCCTTTCTCCACCATCCCAGCGTGAACTTTTAGGTCAGCTGCGGAATCTCGTGGCTAAAGTTTGAAGTGCGACGCCGAATAAACCTCTCTGACACTCGGGAACACTTGTCCTGGTCACGTCCGGCCTATGAGAATCCTGCCCGGCGCTCCACTCCTGTTCAGTATTGGGATGACCCCTCCTCAGTTCCGAGTCCCCGGCTGACAGAGGGGCAGAGAGGCACCAGTGCGTCAGAGCTCCAGGAATGCTGCCTTTGGCCGACCGAGGTCTCCGAGGCCCCGAACGCCAAGGCGGGGTGGGTATGGCCGCCACAGCCCCCAAGCCCCCCCCCCCTTGACTTCCTATTGTTGACATTATCGCCTCCGGCTGTTCTCGCTTCTCTTGGCTGACCCGTCACGCGGCGTCTTCTCTGGCCTACCTGTCCTGACCCGTCACGCGGCGTCTTCTCTTGGCCTGACCTGCCACGCGGCGTCTTCTCTTGGCCTGACCTGTCACCGGCGTGTTCTCTTGGCCTGACCTCACGCGTCGTGTTCTCTTGGCCTGACCTGTCCACGCGGCGTCTTCTCTTGGCCTGACCCGTCACGCGGCGTCTTCTCTTGGCCTGACCCGTCACGCGGCGGTTCTCTTGGCCTGACCTGTCACGCGGCGTCTTCTCTTGGCCTGACCCTCACGCGGCGCGTTTCTTCTCTTGGCCTGACCCGTCACGCGGCGTCTTCTTTGGCCTGACCTGTCACGCGGCGTCTTCTCTTGGCCTGACCCGTCACGCGGCGTCTATCTCCTGTCGCAATGCCATCAGGTTCATTGTTGTCTCCAGTCCTGTCCGACGAACAGGTCCATTAGTTCGGTGTCACAATCCGCGCCGCCTGTCCGTCCGCATTCATGACACCACGTCTTCCGAAGCGAGCTGATGATCTCTCCTCGTCGCCATGGCTCACAGAGTGAGCTGATGATCCTCCTTTATTGCCACAGCTCACAGGGTGAGCTGATGATCTCTCCCCGTCGTCATGGCTCACGGAGTGAGGTGATGATCCCCCTCCATCACCACAGCTCACAGAGTGGGCTGATGATTCCTTCTCACCGCCGCGGCCACCGGGTCCAAATAGGGATTCCTCCTTCCTTAGCACGTCTCACAGAGCGATCTGGTGATGATTTCACTCTCACTACGACTCACCGGGTAAATTGGGAGCCCTCTTCCTTCATCACGTCTTACAGAGCCAGCTGACGGTCCGCCCCCCCCTCGCCGAGCCTGGCGGTCACTATTCCTCTCGTCCCCAGGAAAGGGCGACTTGGTTGGCTGCGACATCCAGCGCCAGCTGCAGGACGGCAGCGACGTCATGGTCAAGTCCAGCAGCGACGTGCGGGCGCTCACCTACTGCGACCTCAAGTGTCTGCACATCGGCGGCCTGGTGGAGGTGCTGAAGCTCTACCAGGACTTTCAGCAGGACTTCAGCAACGATATTCAGCACGACCTCACCTACAACCTGCGCGAGGGCTACGAGGCTGACGTCTCCTCGGTGAGAGCGTGTGGCGGTGTCTCCTCGGGTGGCGGGGACCAGAGTCTAAGGCGCGCCGGACTAATGCCATGGGTACAGACACACAGCGAAGACTGGAGAAAACGAACAGGAAACTGCACGAGGACTGTCTGAAACGTGCAGCTGCATTTCAGTCAGTCCCAAACGCAACAACGAATGTGACATTTTGTGGGTCTGGGATGTGTAAAACATCCACGCATACTAATTATGCTAGAGACGGAGGCTCTTTTGGGAAATGAGGGACACGTCTTTTCCCCAGCGGCCGCTTAGTGACTGGCGCGACTCTAATGGTCTGAGACGACATAGGCTCGGAGCCCAGTCCGTGTCAGTACTCCAGAGAGCACCCCCAAACTGAGGGGGAGGGCCTGACAATGCCGTGCAGTGGCTACCTCGCGCAGGTCAAAGTGGCTCGACGTTGGCAGTCGCTGGAGCCTGGTCGCCAGTAATGGACGGCTCAGCACGCGACCCTGAGCGGGCGTCGCCGCCGGCCGGGCTTGCGTGACAATCGACGAGGCTCGGCGAACGCCGGCCGTAACCGTCCGATGACGCCGGGCCGCCCGGCAACCCACGCGTAACCACCTCCGCTGCATCCGGTGTGAAATCCGCACGTTTGCCACGGGTTCGGTGGCGGATTTTAGGCGTTTTCGCACTAGGGGGCCTCAGGGTCGTGCCTGATGTGCTGTCTTCGTCCCGCTGGGTGCCATTCGACCCGTAATTGGGTTCCCCGGAGCTCGTGCGGAAACAACAACTTACCTCGCCGCGCTGTCGGACGCCCGTAGCGTGGCCGATTGTGGAGGGCGCGGCACGAGAACCTCATCCCTGACGCGCCGGCGCGCCTCGCGCGGCAGGACACGGAGAACAGCGTGGGCGCCGGCCACACACTGCCTTCCATCAGCGAGGACAACGAGGCCGAGGAGGAAGCCGAGGAGGAGGACGATCCTCCGCTGTCGCCGCAGAGTCCGCAGCTGCGCCGGCCCGGCAATGGCCGCATGTTCAGGTGAGGACGCGGCCGCAGCTGAGGGAGGACAGCACCTGGGCTGAGCGGCGCGCGCATCGACCGCAAACGGACGGACGGGCGGCAGGACCGGCAGAGACGGATAGCAGTTTGGTTTGGGAACATATCGAACGCCCTTGGGCTGGAAACAGAAGCGATAGGCAGGTATTCAAGTGGGGCTCGGTGTGGGATGGGGCCGGATTGGAACATGGGGCAAGTGGTCTCGACGGCTAAGTCTGAGGCGCCACAGACTTGACTTTCGACAAAGTCTGGGGATCGTGTACAGCACCGACCAATGCGTCAGAATTGTCAACTATAATCCTCCAAGTCAGCACTGCTCCTTCAACGAACGCGAAGGTTCGTCGGACCACTGCCCTGGACCACAGCCCGGACCACTGCCCTGTATCTCATTCAGTCGGACGCGTCCTCGGAGGGCCGAAGCCGCCCGCCCCCCCGTGCGCCATGTCTGCCGTCAGTGAGGACTCGGTGACGGCCGTGCCCCAGCCGCCTGCTGTGTGCCCCCAGTGAGGACTCGGAGCCGCTGCTGCGGCCACGCCGCGAGCGCAGCCCGGTGGGTGGGCCCCGCTCGTGCTCGCTCTCGCCGATGGTCCTCCGGCTGCGGCGGCTCGGCTCGCTCGACAACATGACGTCAGAGCGGCAGCGTGACCGGCCCGCCGATGACGCCGCCTCCAAGGTCGACCAGATCCACGACCAAGTGAGACGCGTGCCCCCGCGCCGGCCACCTTTGCTGGCCCGCTCAACAGCGCGCCCACGCGGTCCGGCCGCCCGGCCCATGGGCTGGTTTGTATGCAAATTTACGGTCGGGAGCGGTCCAAAGGGAGGCGGCTGCCGGGTCCCAATCACCCAACATCGGGCGACGACAGCCACCAGGGCCGGGAGTGCTCAGCCAGCGCCGTGGCTCCGTCTGCGCGCTTCCGGCTCCGGGCGCGCGAAAATAGACGCGTCGTTCCGGTGGGTGTCCGATTAGTGACGAATTGACTCGGTCAGATGAGGTTTGAATGACCAGAGGTAGCAAATGGTCCGTGGGGAGGGTTAGCTGTGCCGACAAGCGCATGCTCAACCCATTCTGCGATCTGTTCTGGGAGTTGATACGACCTCAGCACATGTGATGATGTGCGCGCGCATTACGGCTTCGTTCAATCCCATGTTTTTTTTTTATTTTGACGTTCGCTGGCTTCTTGGACGTCAGGATATGTTTGCAGTAGTTGCTGTTCGCGTTTGTGGTTTGGTATCGATGGAGGATTTGTCTATCTTTGGTCTGGCAAACCGTATTTGTTTTCATTAACGCGAAAACCGTAAATCTGTTACACCTCGCCCAGGCCTCTCGGATGTCGGACAGTTGACACTATTTAAGATTTGCCTATTTTTATCTCGTAACGGATTATAGTGCTTATCTTACTTGTTTCTATGTTTCAGCTTCGCGGATTGAAAAAATTCAAATTATGTGGGTGTCGGTGTGGTGGAAGGCTGCCTGAAATGCTGCCATTATTCTGTCGTCATAATGCGCAGTAATAGCGTTAATTGGCATCATGGCCAGCTCGCTCTTATGATTTGAATACGCCATTTAAAGCCAAATTTTACGCACGCTCGGCTGAAAATACGCTATCGATGTTTTACGGTGGTACGTGCCGCCCAAGATCAGTGCCGTGGCATCTGGTAGAAATGACCGGTTGCAGTACACACTGATTCGTGTTTGAACCCCCTCTCGGTTACCTTGGTTATTGCTAGTCCACCTAAGCTTTCTTTTCCCATTTATCTTGGCCACGCTTATGACCGCCCGGTGTTTTCAGGTACAAACTGCTGTTCAGCTCTTGCGGACGCTCACTGCGATGAAGCCCCCTTGCGCCACCTGTGATCAAGGAACACAAACTGAGTTTCCAACGAGAATGCTTGAGGAGTTCGTGTCGCGCAACAAGGAACGAGTGTTAGCGTTGCTGGGCGTCGGCACGGACAACAAAGTGTTGAGCGCGTCTCCCAGCCTCCGCTCGCCTCAGCGAGGGGTGACCTTCGCCCTCGGACTCGGGTCAGGCAAGACAGAGACGTCGCTTCGGGCACGCGCGCCCTCCCAAGTCACGGACTTCTAGCCCGCCCCGCCCGCGAGTGGACCGCACTTACAAGGCGCGCGCCCGCTCGAGAGCACTTGTTCTATCTTTGAGAGTTGTTTGTTTATACCGAGAGTGCCTGTGAAATGGCTGAAAGGTTCTCCGTTAGAACGCACACTATGTACCCGATTATCAGTGGAAGCACGGGTCAGCGCCGGGAGCGAATCGTGCGTTGTTTCGAATGGAGTATATTGCGACGCGTTCAAATATCTTCCTGTACATATTGTTCGCATGTGTCCCTACGTTCCCTAAACATGCCCGGATAAATACAACATACCAGCTCACCTACGGCCCTAATTGCCCCGACCAGCACAGCATCACGTCTCTCCGTCCGCTTCAGACACTTGAGGGTAAGAAGAAAAAGGACCAGCTGGCAGCCTGCCCCCCCCCCCCCCCCCCTCCTCCCATAGACCCTGTTTGCGAGGCCTATGGCTGCGCCGCTGGTGGCGGCCGCATAAGAAGTCACATTGGGCAAGTGGGCTGCTTGCACAGCTGACGTTCATTCTTCGTAATCAGCGTCTCAATACGCAGAAAACCTTCGACCCAACACACGACTGAGAGGAACGATATCTGCTCGCAAACCTTCGACCCAGCACACGACTGAGAGGAACGATATCTGCTCGCAAACCTTCGACCCAACACACGACTGATAGGAACGAGTCTGCTCGCCGTCACTGCGCTGGTCCGCTCTCTGCGCCTCGCAGCCCGGCACGAGTCCGGTCCGGCGCGCGGACGGCCGTCACCGGAGCCGGACAGCTGCGATCGGCAGACTACGCCCTCCGGCGACGCCACCTCAGCAGCACCTCGTCAGCACGGGTCGGATGGTGGCCGTGTGGGGTGTAGGGGCGCGTCCGCGCCCGGCCCAGAGCTGAGCCGGCGCCTCGCTTGACGGCGACACGCGAGGCGGGCCGGTGTGGTGCTGCACCCCGGAGCAGGGGCGGGGGCAACGCGGTACGCGAGGCGGGACCGGCGTAGTGCTGCACCCCGGAGCAGGGGCGGGGGCGACGCGGTACGCGAGGCGGGCCGTTGTGGTGCTGCACCTCGGAGCAGGGGCAGGGGTGACGCGGTACGCCAGCCACGTCCTTCCACCCGCTGGCCGCCAGGGCCGGACGCGCCTCTTGTGGCACGAACCGAACTGATGACAATGGCTTTTTCTGCCAGCTTTCCGGCCCCAACTGTGTCACCGGGTGCGACGGCGAACCTCGCTGCATCCGCTGGCTATGATGTCCGGGGGCGAGCCAAAGTCGACGTCAATGAGAAGTTTATTGAAATGCACATGTTTTGAAACTCACAATTCTTTTTGGCGTCAAAACTCGTAACAAAGTACAAAAGTCAACACCGAGGCAGCAGCTCTAGTAGGCCGATTCTCATCAAAACAAAAGAAGATAACAGAAACAGTTTTTTGCACTGGCCAAAACTTGAAATTACTCAGTTTTGTACTCGCATTGTATTATGACCAGTACAGGGCGGGGCCGGCCGTGGCTGTGCCGGCGGCCGGCCCCTCGTCAGTGGGGGACCCGGGCGGGCCCCCGGGCGCCGCCGGCCGGCCGCTGGTCGCTGGCCGGCGGCGCACTCTCCGGGGATGGTGACACGGTGATGTCCCGCAACATGTGCACGTACGCTCCGACTCATTAGCAACAAACGGCATGCAAGGTGGGCCCGGGCGGCCGGGCGCGCTGGGCCGCGGCTCGGATGGCTAGACGGCGGTGGTGGTGGCGCGCGGGCGCGCGGGACCAGCCGGCAGGGACGCCAGTCGCCGCTGACCGCAGTAAGGCTAGCGGGCCGCCCGCACAGGCGGCCGGAGCCGCCTCGGACGGCGGCCAGCGCGACGGCGTCCCCACACGGAGGTCCCGGCACCTGGCCACTATGGAAAGTCTCACTCTCAAATCAGAATGGCCGGGGGCGGCGCGCCGGCGCCGTTTGGTGACAGATGGTCGGCTGGCCGCCGGCGCGCGCGCCCCCCGATCCTGGTACGATGGCGCTAGCAAAGGCACGCTGAAAACGGCCGCCACCAGAGCGACCGAGGCGCTCGCATTTCCTTCTGAACAGTGCCATTCTGATTTGTTTAATCAAGCAGTTTATCATTACTCAATAAAAGGAAAGGTGGCGTCGCTGGCGTCTGGCTGCCGCCCGCAAGGTGCGGCGCCGCGCTCGGCTGGTATCTACACACGGGGCCGGGCCAGGGCCGGGGCTGGCTGGCCGGGGCGCCGGCCGCTGCCGCACCGCCACTCGGAACAGGGCTAATCGGACGATGGCTGGGCGGGCGGGCGGGCGGCGGCGGCGGCGGCGCGGAGCCCGTCTACGCCTGGCTCTCGGAGGTGGTGTTCTCCACCGGCTGGGCGTCCGCCTGCCGGACATACGTCGCACCGGTCACCCGGACCGCCTCAGACCATCGGCTCGACAGCAGCACGGCGCAACACGAAAAATGGCTGATTACAGCTGACTGGGACAACGCGGTGGGCAGTGGGGCAATACAATGGGAGGACGACCACTGGTCGGATGATCACCGAGAGGTGTACGCAATCGAAGCCAGCCAGCGGGCGTCTCCAGTGTGTACCTGACTGACCTGTGGCGGAGTCTCCTTCTTGGGCGACGTCTCCGGGACAGGAGACTGGAGGACAGCAGAGACGGGAGATTCAGCATGCAGGCTACTGTATACGGTCACAGGCTCGGCTACGCGCGACACCCGATCACATACCGAATGCCGACCTGACTAAATCCCCAACTTCAGACACCATATACGACTGAATGCCATTCAAACGGACGACCATGCACCTGAACCCGGCGTGTGTGCCAGCCCCGGGGTGACAACCGTTCCTTCTACCCGTCGAAACACGTACCTTAACCTCGGCAGCTCCATTCTCCTGGGAATCCCCTTCTCCCTGTAAACGGTAAGGTCCGCTAAATACACACGCACATCGACAAACAGCAAAAGCTGGACACGACACCATCCAAAACAGTGCCCACCGGTTCATGCTCGTGCCCAAAACGGAATACACGCAGACTACCTCCAATAAAATGCAACAGTCGATAAGACATGCTGCCACCGACGCCGCAGGCACCCACACGACCCCTGCTGCGGGGCGGCGCGCTCACCTTGCCACCGTCGTCGCGCGAGCCGGAGCGGGGCGCGCCGCGGCCGCGGCCAACGCCGCGTCCCCGGCCGCGGCCGCCGCGGCCTCGGCCCCGCACGCGGCCCCGGTAGCCGCCGCGACCGCGCGGCCGGTCCTCGCCCTCCTCTCCCTCATCGTAGTCGCCGTTCTCGGCCGGGTCGCCGTTCTCGCGGCGCCGGTAGCCGCCGCGTCCGCCGCGGTAGCCGTAGCCGCGCGGTCGGCCGCGACCGCGGCCGCGTGGCCGCGGCGCCGGCTCCTCGTCGCCCTCGAGCGGCTCCTCCTCGTCGACCTCGTCGTCGCGCCGCCGGCGGAAGTAGCGCGGGAAGCGACGGTAGCCGCGGCCGCGGCCCCGGCCGCGTCCCCGGCCGCGCGCGCCGTCGCCGCCACCCTCGCGGTCGCCGTCGCCGTCATCCAGCTCCTCCTCCTCGTCGTCTGCGGCGAGCCCGAGGTCAGCGAAGGGTCAGCGAAGGTCTCGAGGTACACGAAAGCCGAGCACGCGGGTGCACCAGCCGAACCGACTGAACACGGGGTGTGGCTCGTCGCTTTCGCAGGTTCAAAGGCGTTTACCGCACCTGGGGAGTTCGAGGGAAGGCGCGGCAGGTCCACGCGCAGTTACCCAATGTTAAGTTTTCCAACGCATAATCAACTTGTGAAGATTGGTTATCGGCACACGCTGCTGATACGGCCAACAGTCGCAACCTCTTACGCGAGCAGCCGTGATCGGGAAAACCAAATGTGGCGCGTGGCGCCGCATTCTAATACACGGCTCTGGATCCAAAGTCCAAGGGCTAGTCACTTGCACCACTTGCGCTCCTGCCGTCCCATGCCCAGCCGCGCAAGACCGCACGTTACATCCTGCCATGCTAGGACGGCTACTAACCGTGGTATTCCTGGCCTTCTTCGCCATCATCTAGAACAGAACGACGGGTCACAAGCGGGACAGGCGGCAGCCGGCCACAAGCGAAGGCAAGCGGCGCGTCGACGACTGCAGGCAGGCGACACCACAGACGACCCCGACCATTATGGTCCAGCATGGCTGCAGCTCTAGCGCCAGTCACGGATCCAGACACAGCCAGACGGGGCCAGCACAGCCGCGGCTCCAGCGCCAGCCAGAGACCCAGACGGGGCCAGCACAGCTGCGGCTCCAGCGCTAGCCGGAGACCCAGACGGCGCCAGCACAGCTGCGGCTCCAGCGCGAGCCAAAGACCCACACGGGGCCAGCACAGCTGCGGCTCCAGCGCGAGCCAGAGACCCAGACGGGGCCAGCACAGCTGCGGCTCCAGCGCGAGCCAGAGACCCAGACGGGCCAGCACAGTTACTGCTCCTGATCCCAAGCGGACGACACAGCGGCACAGCGGGGTACAGCCCGACAGAGCCTCGACCCTGGCATGCTGCCGGGCAGCGCCGTCAGACGAGCTCCCAACCCCAGGCAGGTGACGTCAGCGGCACGGCGTCGTGCAGTCATACACGGCTCCGGCTCTGCTCTCCAGACAGGCCACGAGGTCTGACGCCGGCGCGCCGACCGCCAAGCAAGACGCTGGCAGCGGCCTCCAAGCACTGAGCGCGCCCGCCAGCAGCCCAAGCCCAGCCGCGGCGGCCGTGCCGCAGCCAGCTCGGCCCCAGCCTACCACACGACGGTCCGGCGCGTCCGCGTCCGTCCGCGCGGCCATCAGCTCCCGGAGCCGGCCGGCGCTGGATCGGCTCCAGCCTACCACACGACGGCCGGGCGCGTCCGCGTCCGTCCGAGCGGCCGTCAGCCCCCGGAGCCGGCCGCCGCTGGATCGGCCCTCACCGTAGAAGTAGCGTCGGAAGCGACGGCGCCGGTCGGCCGCGTACTTGCTGCCCTGCACCGGCTCGCCGGACGGGCCCGTCACGTTGGCCGCCTCGTTGCCCTTCTCGCCGACCACGACGTCGAACTCGACGATCTCGCCGTCGCCCACGCTGCGCACCAGCTTGCGCGGGTTGTTGCGGGTGATGGCGCTCTGGTGGACGAACACGTCCTCCTTGGTGTCATTCCTGGCAGGGCAAGGGCGGCGGGCTCCGGTCAGTTGAGCGTACACCGCCGGTAGCGGCGCCGGCCGCTCCAGCACACCGAGCGGCACAGTTTGGCCGCGCTGACGCGACTACGTTCGTTGACCTTGCGGCGCGCGGCTTCAAACCAAATCGCTCGAGGACCGACGGAATCACTCTCATGCTGGTGTTACACCAGCACCGAAACCCAAGAGACACTGGTAAGCCATATGTTGTGTAACAATGCAATTAAACTTCATAAGGTCTAGTATGACCGCAACCTCGACACACACAGATGGACAATGATGAAAAGGGTTGCAGATCTCCAGGACCATATAAATGTTGAAAGATGAACTATCTGACATCTCAACATATCATGTACATCATGTCTCAAGCTGTGGCTTATGACACACAACAAAAATATTCACATGCAAACACAGAAAATGAAGCCTTTGTTCAGACCGAACATAGCTAACAGTCATTTACAGCCCTGCCAATGCCGAAAGACTCAGTTCTAAGATGATGCAATGCTTACTTCATAACCCCTGTTACTGACTGCAATTTGGAGGTTCAAGCCCTGTCAATGATGTGAAAATTACTGATAAGGTATTTTTAATGATAGGGATCATGAAGGTCATGCTTTTTCTTGCCTTAGATATGGAGTGGCCCCCACATGTATTAGAAGGGAACATCAGAGCTGTGATACATTGCAGCTCCTAATTTCGGTTCACAGTTCTGTGCACTATGGTGAATTTAATAACATTCCTGGTCTCATGTTTATGGGGAATGGAGGATTTATTTTTTTGTTGAAAAAATGACCTCTAGTAACCACATGAAACATGGAAAGAATGGCAAAATGACATTTTCAGTGTGCACCAAGCACAAGCAGATTTTGCTGTATTTACAGAGCAATGGGATCCTTGCCATGGCCCTTCTTGCTGTGGTCAACAAAATTCAAATACACATTGACAACTGAGGTCATTTGGCATCCACTTAACATGTTGGAAATACCCTACAAGTGCTGAATACTTTTGACTCCACCCCAGCCTGACCTGTTGATGAAACCATAGCCACTCTTGACGTTGAACCATTTGACGGTGCCAGTGACCTTGGTGGCTGAAACGGAACATCATGGAGTTAAGATCGATATGCTGTCACCCCAAGAGAACAAGCCATTAACCACACCACACAGCCATTAACCGCATTAACCAACATATATAATGATCATGGGGATCTGGATTCATGCATGCCATTTCAGCCCCATCCAACATGTTTTTGCTTCACTTTACCTTAAGCTGCTTGAGATTACGGTCGACTTTGCCTGCAAGCCCTGATATAAGAATAATGACAAGTTTCTGTATTCAGAGCTACTCTAAGGTGGCACATAAAATTAATACAATGAATCTGTTGAAGCCAAAAGGGCACCTCACTGGTTTTTACATTGGTATAGCATGGTGGAGAGGACCACAATGGCAGGCAAAACATTTGAATAATTAACCACTCTCAATAAAAGCTGCTCCGACTGAACCCAGAGCAAACCCGAGATGTGGGTTAATGATAAAACCACCCCAAAGTCATTTGGTTGAGTCTTTCCTGGAGTGTGAAAAATGTCCAAAACATAACCATCAGGATCTCCAATGGTATCACAAGAAATACAATGCCTCCTTTACCAACTACGGTTAGAGATACCACATCATACAATTTCACAACAGGACACAAAAAGTAATAGTTCCTTTATTTCTTGTGATGATTAGATATTGGGGTTTTGACACATTTTGGAAACTCCCTTAGCCCCAATATTTTTTATATACTAATTTTGCCAACAGAAATTTAAAAATCCTTCACTTTATGTTGCCACATGTTCTCTACTCCCACTGAACTAGTAAAGAGAACAAAAAAGTAATGCAATGCTGTTTAGAAAATACTGCTGATAAGCCACAGCCTTTACGAATGATTCATCTAAAAAATGTGATGCAATCAAGTTATTTGGTTGTGATCTACTATATCACTGCATGATATGCAGTAGAACACTAATAATTCAGCACAGCACTGTAAAAACCTTTGGGCACTATAAGGTTGCTTGTAAGAAATGATCTCATACTGCATAAGCAGCTGTCACCCATGATTCTCATAGGATGGTTGTAGGAATAGAGAAAATTAAGAGCTAATAAAATCAAAGCCATGGTTTACATAATTAGTGGACCAATATGCTAGCCACATCTCATTATATCCTGTTCTAAGCCTAAATAAGCAACTGGAGAGGCAGCATTTGAGACAGCAAAGCAAGATTCCAAGCCCCAAAATCCCATGAAAAAATTGAATGATACAGCTAAAAACCATACATTGCAAGATCAGATAAGAGATCAAATCACAATACAATGTGATTCAAAGCTCCATGCACATCCAAATCACCACAACTGAATAAACTTAGCAACCATGATAAACTTATTTCCCTGAAATACTTGGGTTGGAGGTTTGAGTTGGTCCAAGCCACACTTCCCCATGCTACATTTCAACTATCTTATGGTTACTCTCCATTCCTTTAGTCTCTATTAAACATTTTGTGTCACTACTTAGCTATGGATAGCATGTGGCATGTGCTTGACATGCACCTTCTGACAATGCAAGGGAACATAAACCCATAAGAGCCCTGATTCAGCTCCCTCCCCCCCCCCCCCCCCTCCCCAAATGCTTCCCTCAACCATACCATCTTGAGCAAAATGTCAGCACATCCTCGTGGCAATAGTCGAAACGAAACTTGAATGAGTGGTTTAAAGAGTCACACAACACTCTGGCAAGCATTCAAAGCACTCAACCAAAATACGATAGTCGACGGCATCGCTAATCCTCACTCAACACGCGGTCCAACTTCTCGACGAAACCAACGCACAGGTGAGGCGTTTCCAACGCATCATTTACAGGCCGGTTTTGCGGGAAGGAGTGCACAACAAGGCTTACCAATAAGTTCTTTTTCCTTAACAGCCTCTTGTTGTTCAGGCTGCTTCTCCGAATCTGCCATGGTGTTGGCTGGCGATCTTAAATGATGGAACGATTAGCCCCGATGGATGGTGTTCCTCCTCTGCTAGGTCTTGTCCAACATGGCGCAGGCACGTTGCCATGGAGTTTGCAGAAATGCTTTGCTGTGATTGGTGGAACATACTGGGCCCGAAATAAGCTACCAATAAGGGACGGTATCGCGGACGTGCACTTGTATGTCAGTGGCGGTGCATTGCAGATTTTGGAGCTCGTGTGCCGCGACGGATCAGTTGAAGGTTGTCTAATAATGGTGAATAGTAATGATCCTAGCATTACTTAAGCAATGACTAATGCATTTCGGGGAAGCCATGCGCCATAAAAACGAATTTGGACACAAATATTGTCATGCGTTTGCTAAAGCCAAAAAGCAAACAAATTTCACAAGACATTTGTCTCTTTTATGATACTTCTTTCGAAAACGATAATTCCGATAATAAATAATTATCTCGATGAGCTTTGGATAACATTTTGCTGAAAGCATAAAGATTGAAGAACGCATTCTTTGGTGGAAGGAAATTTGGTAGTGATATGGGACCCTTAACGACGCTAATGTTTCATACATGGTGCGCCTTCACCTTTCGCGTGTCCCGTGTGCTGGGCCATGTCGTGTAAACTCTAAAGTTGGGGAAGAGTCACAGAGCCGATAACGTCGGGCTGGTCGCATTACTACTGCGGCGGGCTAGGTAGAGCAGTGGTCGGCTGTGTCGCCTTTTCGCCGTTTGGTAAGCTCTTTTAATCTTCCTCAGTGCTTACTGTTTTACTGATGTATATCATGCTGCTTACTAAAAGCTGGCCGTCAATTCGCCTGCGTATCTGGCCCTCGGAGGCCCTCGGTCAGTTTTCCAACATAAGTGATTTTCAACTGTAGTTGTGTCCGCACGCTGATTGTTATCTGCATGTATGTGCGAAATAAAAGCCGGGCCAAATTGTGCCCAATTTTTGGCATGATTTTTGTGCAGAAATGTTTTTGTGGGATTTCTGCCCAAAGTTACTTCTGCAGCATCACAGCTCCTTGAAATGTTGACTCTACACTGAAATTCATGGGAACTTGCACCAAACACTGATATACATGCAGGGAAATTGTTGTTACAAAGCTGCTCCCATGTTTAGATTATCATACTTAACTTTTTGCTGCAAAGCTGCTCCCATGTTCAAAGTAACATGTTTTTCCAATCTGGATTAGCTTGAGTTGTGCAGATACCAGCTATGATGCATATCAAAGGCCTAATAGTATGTTGCATATGCAAACATTATCCAGACAGTAAGACATGGCAAACTCAACAAGATCCTGTTGGTTGCAGACCTGCGTTAAGTGTGCTGATTGATGTTAACTATGCACCAGCTTTGCTTACTTAAGCCTCCTCAAGTTTCCACTTGAGTACAAGTAAAATAGTATGAGCACAAGTCAAGAGCACAGTGATCACTTCCTAGAGGATAATGATGATAATGTTTGGCTTGTTATCACTGTTCTCTCAACCACAACAAGCACGTTTCCACCAGTGATGGATCTAAAGAAGAAACTGTTTATTATATCTATTCAGTTGTCCAAGAATTGAATAGATTTATGAAATGGTGGTATTGTGAGACTTGTAATTTGAGACTATGTCAGCCCGGAATTCTAAGTATCACATTACATCTCTTGGAAACTTTAGCATTTTGATCTCATCTGACCTGAAACCATTTTGTAAGGATATAGATATCAGGTATGTTTTGTTGTCATGCTTGACTGTAAACAGCATGACACTGTTTTGCAGCACACGATGCCGCCCCGGCGGGCGCCGTCGCGGTGGCGCCGCCTGCGGGCTGCCCTCTCGCCGGACCAGCTGCAGCGCTACCTCTTTAGCCCTGACTGCTGTGTGCCAATGGCAGGGCTTCTACTGCTCGCCGAGTGCGTCATCAACGTGGCCGTGATCGAGCGCGTCAAGTACACAGAGATCGACTGGCGCGCCTACATGCAGGAGGTGGAGGGCGTGTGGAATGGCACACTGGACTACTCGCTCCTGAGCGGCGACACCGGTCCGCTGGTGTACCCGGCCGGCTTCGTGTACGTCTTCCTCGGCCTGTACCATGTCACTGCGCAGGGCGCCAACATGAGGCTGGCACAGTACATTTTCATGGTCATTTACCTGGCCAACCTGGCACTGGTTAGTCGCATCTACGTGCGGAGCCGCAAGATCCCGCCATACATGCTGCTTATGATGAGTCTCACCTCCTACCGCATCCACTCCATCTATGTCCTGCGTCTCTTCAACGACCCGGTAGCGATGCTGCTGCTTTACGCCAGCATCAACTGCTTCATGGACGGCCGCTGGTCGCTGGGCAGCGTGCTGTTCTCACTCGGCGTCTCGATCAAGATGAACGTGCTGCTGTTCGCGCCGGCGCTGCTGCTGGCCTACATCACGTGCCTGGGCTGGGCCGGCGCCGCGCGCCAGCTGACCATCTGTGCCGCGCTGCAGCTCGTGCTCGGCGCGCCGTTCCTCGCTACCAACCCGATAGCGTATGTGCGCGGCGCGTTCGACCTGGGTCGAGTGTTCCAGTACCAGTGGACGGTCAATTGGCGCCTGTTGCCTGAGGCGCTGTTCCTGGACCGGCGGCTGCACGCGCTCCTGCTAGCACTACACGTGGTCACGTGCGCAGTGTTCGCCCGCCGCCGTTGGTACCGCTTTCTGGAGGGCTTCGCGCGCCTGCAGGCGGCCGACGGCCCGGCGATTCGCTGTCAGCTGCTGCTGCTGCCGCTCTTCACGTGCAACCTGGTGGGCATGGTCTTCTGCCGTTCGCTGCATTACCAGTTCTACGTGTGGTACTACCACAGCCTGCCGTACCTGCTCTGGAGCGCCAACTTCTCGACGGCCACGCGGCTCTGCATGCTGGGCCTGGTCGAGCTCTGCTGGAACACGTACCCGTCGACGGCCGCTGAGCTCGGCGGCGCTTCACTGTTGCCACCTGGTGCTGCTGGGCGGCCTCTGGCGGACGGGCGCCGTGCTGGCGCAGGTGGCGCCACCGGTCGGCGTCCGCAAGCTCAAACAGTGACGTGCAGCCGTCAGTTACGTGCCTTCAGGTGTGTGGACCCGGGAACAATGGCACGCTGCAGTCGTGGGCTCGGCACTGAGTTACTACACTGTGGCCGCTGGCGTGGTGTTGCCGTGTTAAGGGGTGGGGGTCGGGTGGACCGTATCTAGTCTCGCAATAAAGTTGGTAAATCTGTGGATTTTGTATTTGACCAGGGATAGTGACGTGGCTGGGATTTTGTGTGGAACACTGAGCCGTAGCTCGTTGACGGATTTGAATAGCTGTCCTCTTATAAGTCATTGGGGTTACATGTGCGCGCTCGCATGTTGCACAGTACGTGGGGCTTGACGATTGATGTCCAGTTATTGATTCGAGACGCGAAAGAACTGCGACTCAGTGTTGGCATTGCATGGGTTGGTGTGGGGCCAGAAAGTCATGTTTCTGAATGTTAACTTTCTGACTAGATCAGAGGATGCGAAACGGATGCGCGGCATAGCATTGCAAAACCAAACCAGTCAAATTGGTCCTCTATGGCAAGACGTAGAAGTGTTGCTTGAGTGGGGAAAGAACACTGAAGAGCACGCAGTTGCCGTTCTGGATTCCCACAGACGTAATGCCGCGCTAACGTTTCTAGATAGACGCTATCGTCCATTTACCGCAAAGGTCTTCGAGGACCGAATCGCTGGCGCAGAATAATTGCGTTTTTGTTTTTGTTTATGGACCTCGTCTTAGAGATATTGCCAAATTGACGTCCAAGCCTCCTGCGCAAGAGCTTCTGATAAGCCAACACAGGGTCTGCGAATTGGTTGAATACATACGAGCAAGTCCAAATGGCTGGCGCTGTTGCACGGTACATTTCGACGACGTCAGCTGCAGTTTGTTCACTCCAGCAAACCATCCCAGCTGGCTCCAAAAATCGAGCACAAAACCTGCGGAAAACCGGTCAAAAAGTCACGACCTGCGTGTTAACGTCAGCCCCCGTAAGACGTTGACAGACCAACAGCACGAGAGGACCGGCGGCCCGTCTGTCTTGTCGCTCCCAGGACAAGTTCGGGTGGCTCCGGTGTGAACGCGCGGCTGCCAGAGCAGGGGGGAGGGTCCTGAAGCCTGTTACGACATATCGTGAAAGGCGTGCCCACTGTCTGCATGGTACAATCAGAGCATGAGGCACACGTTTTGCCAGGACAAGGCATGTTCAGCCTGCGAACGTGCCACAGACGTGACGCCCGCTCACCGAGCTCATGCGATCGTCGAGCGTGCTCGTTATGGTACGACACGCTCCTGTGTGCGCTGCGTCGCTCGAGCAGCTTCCGCGCCCTTCGGCTGACGTCACGCGTCCTGACCTCACGTGCTGCATGCAGCTGCATGTGCTGTCGGCGACAGTACATGTAAGCAGCCATATCATGCGGCCATCGCGCCGGCCGGATAGTCGACAGCGTCGGAAAGCAAGTCATCGCCGGATGGTTCCGAAACTAAGTCCTGTGCCACCGCTCCTAGAGTAGTTGGCATTATTGTGCTTTCAAGATTTTATTCCGAACCTTTTGATTGGATGGATTTCTGGGATCAGAGCTAGCGCTGAGCCCTGGTCTCCTGCCATTCGATCGTGAAATTCCAGGTCAACGGCAGAATTTGGTGGCAAACGTTTAACGTACCGCCATGTTCGTCACGGTCTGTCCTGCGCCCTGACGCGACCTGACCTTTAGCGCGGCTGCTACCACCGGCTTCAGGCTATACCTCTGAAGGGCAAACCCTTTGATAACTATCTAACTCTGTATTTGGTCCTTCCGGCACTGTTCTGGCGGGATTGAAATGCACGTAGATGGGCGTACTCAGTATCTGCTGAACAAAAAGGTCCGCTTTTGTCAATGTCAGGGCTGGTTGACAATGGCAAATCACTCAAACACAACCCATTGGTGTCGGCCCACAGTTCGCGGGACGGACGCCGGCCGCTGCAGAACCGGCCGGCGATCTGACCCACTTTTCAGCCGCCGTTTGTTTAGGCCGTGCATTGGTTTGAACGGTGAGCCGCCTATTGACCAATAGCCGGCGGCGGACGGGGCGCGTG